GGTGACCGTTTTCAGCGCTCATCCATCATCTTTGCGCGCTGTTCGCCTCCTTCAACACGCCACGCCACGCCACACCACATCACATCAAACACGTCTTCCTCACGATGTCCAAAGCAGCAGCAGCAGCAGCAGCAGCATCAGCTTCCACAGCATCTTCCTCATCGCATATGCAGCAGCTGGAAAGGAGCCTGCAGAAATCCAGCGTCGAGTTTCAAAATCTGCAAGCAGAGCTTGAAAAGGCTGTAGATACGAGACAGACGCTTGCCGGACAATTGAACGAAAATGAAAGCGTTTTAAAGGTGAGCAAGAGCGCTTTGTGCAGTCGATTTGGTGTGAGATGCAGAGTTGCTGTGTGCTTAGCGAGGTGCCTCGAAACTTAGTCGACCGCTAGCCATGATTCGAGGTCGAGTCGCTTGGTCGGTAGACTTCGCTTATAATGAGGCCCTGGATGGGTCACTCTACACCTACGGCTCAGCTCGGCGGGGCGGGTGAGCGAGCGAGAGTACAAAGTGATTGCGATTGTGAAAGCCCACATTCAGACATTCAGGCGGATCGACGACCAAGCTTTTGCAGCGCTTGAACGCACGCTCACACATGACCCTCATCCTCGATAGGAATTCGACGCCCTTCCAAACAAAGGTGCGGGTGCCAAAGTGTACAAGGCAATGGGTCCCGTCTTGCTGCAGCAAGATCCAGCAGAGGCGAAGAGCAATGTGCAAAAGAGGATAGACTTTATTCAGGGCGACATGTGGGTGGAGCGGATTGCCTTCATGGCGTCATGGCGTCATGACGCATGTTCGCTCCTTTGTGCTAACCTCTCCACTCTTTTGGCATCACGAGTCTTGCAGTAGGCGAGCAGAGATGCTGCTCAAAGAGCTTTCAGAGAAGGGCGAAAAGAAGAAAGAAGAGGTGAGGACGTCGTGGCGGCGTCGAGCGATTGGATCTCTGGCTGAAGCTGTGCTACGGCCCGACCTGGCCAGCTCGTCAGACTACAATCTCAATTGCAAGCGGCGGCGACAGGCGGTCCAGGCGAAGGCGCGGATGTAGAAGCAGATGGCGCCGGTGGCATCTGAGGGAGATGCAATCATAAAATTACAGCATTGTTCGATGAGCGACGCACAGCCTGACTCCAACAGGCCAGCGGACACACTTCAGTGACGAAATGGCGACGTCATCATTCGCACAGCGCAGCCGTCCCATTTCGAGCGTGAAGCGTGCACTTCAATCGAGCCAAGCGTCCAGCGCAGCTTTGAAAGCTTGCAAGTCCTGCAAGTCTCTTTGGCGCTCCTTGATCCGGCCCTCCTGCGTACGAGGAGGGACTGGCGCGTTTGCAAGTTCGGAAATCTTGCGCGACACTCCAGACCGCAGTGACAGGACCAGTCGATCGAAGGATTTCTCCAGGCGTGAAATATGCGCTCCAAAATCAAGCCCGACGTGACCGAACATTCGCTCGTCTTTCCCTTCTCGTTCCTCGGCTTCCTGTTCTACGCCTTGGATCTCTCTCTCGATCTCTTCTTCGTCAGACAAGCTCGTCGGCCTTCCAGGCCTTGTGCGGGCATGCGAGCGGGATGATTTCTGAGCCTTTGTTGTTCTCGCGCGTGGCGCGTGTCTTTTGCACTTTGACATTCCTGCTAGCTTGAGCACGGCGTCGCTGGCTTCTACGGCAATGTCGAGCAAGTCCAGAATGATTCCGTGGACGTGCTCGTTGTAGCGCGCCGCGTAGGCCGTGCGGCTGGCATCGACAGTCCGATCAAAAGTGAGATGCGAAGCATCAAAACGGCTTTGGTCGATGGGCACCGAGTTGCCAAGTCGTGCGCTTTGTGATGCTTGATGAGAGACCTTCGAGCCCTTCGCAGGCCAAGAGAGGAAGCACAAGTCGGCCATTCTGCGGACGGAGGAGGCATGCGTCTCGATCATCTCGTCGAACGACGACAACGTGGGCAGTCGTTCAGCGATCTCTTGACACCGCGGCTCTAGGATCTGTGCATAGCCGGCATAAGCGTCAGCACTCAACTCGGCTCCAACGAGCATTATGTAAGTGACTCACGTCCGTCATGATCCACCGTCTCAGCAGCGCGACGATCCAATTCATCTTGACGCGCAGAGAAATGGACACTCGTACGTCGTTAGCACGCGTGTGCAGAATGTGGCCTGGCATCGCAGCTAGCTTGCCATCTCCAGGCGCATCCTGGAGCTCAACTCCTAGTCCGGTGAGCATGCTCGGGCGAAGGTTCAGCAGCTCAGAGAGGCAGCTTGATGCTCGAAAGAGCTGTAGCTGAAGAGTAAACATCTGCTGATAGGCCTCGATCACGCCCGGAGTGAGCATATAAGTCAAGGGCCACGGCATCTGCACGCGCCTCCCAGTATGTCAGCTACCGTTTCGCGGACTGCACACCCACTGTATGACCCACCTCATAATCAATGCTGATGCTTGCTAGCGCTCTGACGCTACCTGTGCTCCGCAATGCCTCGGACTTGAAGCGCACTCGCCCAGTGTCGACCCATTCCTCCGCCCTGGTCTCTTCGCGAAACGAAACTTCTAGAACCTGAGCATTTGGCAGCGTTCGGGCCATCTGACGTGGAAGCAGGGCCAACGATCAGTCGTGAGTCACAAGATGGCAAACATGCAAATCAGCCTCACTCACGCTAGGGTGGATCAGGTGTGCCCAAAAGCTCATATCAGGGCTTCTCCACAAGAACAGCTTCTGGAGCACGCTGATGTGCGCAGGCAGATCGATGACTCCGCCTTCAAGGCGCGACTGCAGCAGCACAGAATTGAGCCTCCTCCGCACAAGCGTCAGCACCGGCTCAAGGCGCTTAATCAGGATTGTGCTTACTCCTGCCTCGCTACCAAGAACGAAGGCAAGCTGGGGTTGTGTGCCTGCCACACCCCCGCTCAGTTTGAGCGGCCGGTCAGGCAAAAGAGCGTCGGATAGACAATCGTCCGTAACGTTACTAAATACTGGCTCTTGCTCGGCACGTAGGAGAGGCGAGATGGTGTCGCCGAATAAAGCTCGGCTGATTGCAGCAGCATCGACCTGAGGCCGAGTCGAATTGATCTGCTCGTCCGGCTTTACTCGAGCACTTTCGGGAAATGTTACGCTCGACCGATGCGAGCCTCGCAGGCGTGATTTCCCCAGACTGAGCTGAGCCATGCTGGACCAAGTCTCGCCAACAGAGCGCGTCGCATCTGTCTCATTCTCCGAATCATGTGAAATGCCGTCCGCGTCGGCGTCTTCATTCGGCGCTTCGACGTCGTCCAACACCAGCAGCCGTTCCAGATCGCTGTCCTCTTGAAGCAAGCTTGCAAGCAGAGGCAGCTCGTGTGCGGCGCCTAAAAGTCTCAAGAGACCCACAGCCTTGCCAGCCGATAGAATCTCCTGCGCTAGCCCTTTGCCAATGAGGAAGACAGGGGGCAAAGGAACGCTTCGCGATGCATCTTCAGAGAGTTCGACGCCGCGCTCCTGCTTCAGCGCTCCGAGGGTCCACGCCTCGGTCCAAAAGGTGGTGTCAGTCGGTGAGAGCCGATGATCGCGCTGGAAGAAACTGCAAGTTGCTGCCAGCCTTTGGGAGCGCTGAACACGAGCAGTGGGACTGAGGTCCTCACCCGTGGGCTGGGAGGCCATGGGCATGCCGTGTACAATCCATCGTCGCGCCTCATCCCAAAGGGGACTCGCCGTCGCAACAAAACACATGGCCAGCTGCTCAGGATCAGGCTGCGCATGCTCGCGAAGTTTCCCATCTCGTCCTTTCGCGAAGGCGGCTTCGAAGCGCACTGCCGCGAGCAAGGCGTCAAGCAGTGGTGTCACACTTCGGAATGGAGTGGGCGCGTGCAGCTCGAGAGAAATCCGAGCTTGAAATAAATCAGCTTCCCGGGCTATCTCTTCAAGCTCTAGCAGAGTGGCAACCGTGCAGTCGACTTTGGTCGTCAGTTCGGTCAAGGTGCACATGGGAGGTGCCTCGCCTGGGCCTCGGACGAGGGCCTTGGCAATCGCCGCGTCGTAAGCGGCAAATTGATGACTTGTTCGGCCGAGCACTTCGTCGAGTGCACCGCCAAAGCTGCGAAAGGATTGGGCAGTCACTAGAGAAGGTCCTGCGATGCCGCCCCCGGACAAAGCTTGGAGCTGACTTGAAAGCTGCCGCAGATTCTCGAGGGACGTGCAGATGACCGCAAAATGCGTCAAGGCCGCACTCCAGGAACCCAGAGATAAATGACTAATCCTTGCTGGGTCTGCAACAACTTCGTACTCGCCGTTATTGTTGCGACATCGAAGTAGCTTGTTTGGATTGCCTTGCAACGCTAGCAAAATCTCGCGCAAGGCATGCGTTTCTTGCAGTTGAGCGATGCGTGCATTTTCACCCACCTCCAGGGCTAGCAGTGTGTCTAGCTGGCCCAAGTCGAAGGGTCGTCGCACGAAGCTGAGATGGTCACGCTGCGAGGTGTCCTGACCGGCTAATTTGATTTGGTGAAGAGCTTCTCCCTGCCATGCTCGTAGCCGTTGCGCATGCGCATCAGAGCTCTCCGTGTCGGCGCGAGCAGCAGCAGCAATTCCGTTCCGGGACTTCACCGCGTCTTTCATCGCTCGAGTGGCTGTTGGTGGCGACATTGACCCATCAGCATCTCCTTCCGCAGAGTGATCGCTCCACTCGCTCAGCGTTATCGTCCGAGTCAGTCGCGCCCGAGTATTCTAGCTCCATTGGATCTTCAATCAAGATCCTTAGCCACTCCTCTCGTTGCGCTTCGCGCTGATGCTCCTCGTCGAGGTAAGCGTAAGAGCGTCGCGTCTTGCCTTGCAAAAGATCTTTGGCGTACTCAGATGCATTCTCAGAGGGTACGCATGAGAGCGAGAGCTGTCAACATGAAAGCGTCAGTCTTGTGCTCACTTCAACTGAGACCCCGCTCCGTTTGTTGGCTCACCAATAGCGCCAAAATTTCTCCTGCATTCCTCGAAGTGATGGCCGGATCTTCCACCAACTTCTGCTTGCCCTTGAGACTGGCAGGGAGATCCTCCGCTCTCTGCCCGTTGGCGATTCGCCTCTCCCTATCCGCCCTGCGCGACTCTTGCAGTGCTCTGCTTTGCCGAGCCAGATGCTGGGCTTGCGACATGGATTTATCCAGAGCGCCAAGGCAAGCGATGAGCGCATCGCTTACTTCTTCGCGCAGGTCGATCCGGTTCCTCAATGCTACGCCATGGATATGCTCAGTGGCTGCCTCGTAGTCCGTGGCCGGCGCTACTGGTGTAAGCTTGCGGGAGCTGGTCGATGGACGTATATGCTTCTGGGCTATGGAGTGCACTGCCTCGTAGCGCTCGACGAAAGCAGCTCGCGACTCGCGGGAAGGGCCCGCAGAATCATCTTTGCCGTGCTGCTCGCACGAAATGTCATCGTCATCGTCGTCAAGGCTTGCAAAGGCTGCGGAGAAGCGGGCTAGCAGTTCGTCGGTCGTTGTCCTGCTCGCAGCTCTTGTCGAAGTCATAATGGCAGACCGCCGTGCTGTCGCAGGTAGGCGCTGTTCCGCAACTGCTAGGGTCGGACCTCTGACGTACAAAGTTTCAATGGGAGCGTCGCTCCTTTCGATCAAGTGAAGGTGGTGACGGTAATTGCTCACTTACGACGGCGACCCGATGGCTCTCGGAACGCCTGGTACTGCATGTCGAGCATAGCTGGAGCGTGCCCGAACGGAAGCGTCAATTCATCGTCATCTTCTGCCTCATCGGCTTTTGTTCCCACGCACGTGTTGGTTTGACGCGCGCGCGCGATCGTGTTAATCACACACCTGCTGCTATGACGCGCGCCTCGACGCGTCGTGAGCTTCCAACTTGAAGAATCGTGAATGAATTGAGCGCCGAAGCAATGAAGTTGTATCGGACCATTAACATGATCCCACTTTGGATTTCATATCAGTGCCCAGGTCGCGCGGCGAAGCGGAGGTAAAACACAATAATCAATCAAAAGAGCATGATTGAGCGCGCATGCAGCTCGCACGGCGGGAGGCGTCAGCGCGCGCGGTCACACGTCCGCATCATTCACGATTGTGAGTGCAACGGCCTTCAGCAGCGCTTGGTGTACCCGATACGACTTTCTTCGCAGCTATACATACTGCGCTTCCTACACCATCCACCCAGTCGTCCTAGTCTCCCCTTCAGAAATCGTCCTCCTCAGTTATTACCAGACGCAAGACTTGTCACGCTGGCCCCGGCGCTCTGACTCGAGCGCGATGGAGCAGACCAAAAGTACAGCACCGCGAGAAGCTTGATGGAGAGCACCGGATCATATCGCCGCAATGCAGCGTCATTCAGCGTATGGTGGGCACGGCAGGGGACAAATGAACGGCAGAACGAAGCGCGACGTCAGACATGGTGTAGGCACCGCAGCAGAGCAAGCTTTGGGCGAGTCTACGCACGTCGACCTTCCAGCAAGGGAGGGGCAGTCAAATGCAAGGCGCTCGCCACGTCCACAGTTCGAAGAGACATCCTCGGACCAAGACAATCCTTGGGGATCGCAGGAGGAAGAGACGCTCACTCGGATCGAAGATGCATGGGCGTCGCAGAGAGTCAAGGGAGCTGCTGCTCCAGCGCCCGCAGCCGGCGAAGGAGGCATGGATCCCGTAAATCGCTTCAGTGCAGCGAGTAGATACGCTCGTCCGAGCAACGCAGCTCCTCCAGCTGGTCATTCCTACACAGGCAAGCCATCGACTGTCAAAGATGCTCCAGCACCGCCCAGCCGAAGGTACGACGGCCCTCTTCCCAGTGATCTGCCACCACCACAGAGCCAGCTTCAGCCTCGCGCCGCTCCCGGCGGC